GAGGAAAAGGAGGGGGAGGAAGAGGACACAGGCGAACAGAAGAGCCAGAAGCCTCTTGAATGCTTCGGAGTCTCTGGAGATATTTCTTGGAAGTTTTTGTGGGGCCTCTCGAAGCGTCTGGGGGGTATCTTGGCGGGCCAGGGCCGTGATTGAGCGTCTTGTTTACCTCGGTGATCCTTTTAAGGCCTCTTGGGGGTCTCTTAGGTACCTCTTGGAGGCCTATTGGGGCCGTCTGGGCGCCTCTTGGGGCGCTCTTGGCGGCTTTAGGGGCGCTCTTGGGGCCTTCTGGAAAGGATTGGACCAAAAAAGAAGGGTTCCTTAATTAGCGCCCCCCCCTCGGGAGCCCCAACAATCACCTCTTGGACCCCTCGTGTGGCGATCTTGGAGCGCTCTTTGGCGCTCTTGAGAACGTCTTGGGGCTCTCTTGGGCCTCTCTTGGGGCCTTCATGGGCCCTCTTGGAACTGGTCTGAGGCCTTGGACGGCCATCGGGAGCGAAAATGCGAGAACGCAAAAAACATTGATCTCCCTTTGGTTTTGGAAGGATGTTGGCTTCTTCGGGGCCTCGTTGGGGAGCTCTTTGGCCACTTGGAGCCGTCTTGGGGCGGTCTTGGAGCCTCTTGGAGCATCTTGAGCGCCATCTCGAGCGATCTTGTGCTATCTTGAGCCATCTCGGAGGTTATCTTGGGCTCTCTAAGGCCCTCTTGGAACCATCTTGGGTCATCTTGGACGCCCCAACGCGTCGCGAAACGCCCCGTCCAGGAGGACGGGGAAGGGGAAGGGGTAAACCCCTCCCCGAAGAGAAAAAAAAGGGGTTGGAAGAGGAAGCTCCCTAGACCACCTGCGCCCACTGGGCTGGAGGGATTCTGGCTTCAGTCTTGGTTGGGGATTCAGCTGGCTTGCACGCCTGGCGGGGACTTATCCACTGCTTCAGAACAGCAGCGGCGAACGCCCCGCAACTCGCGAACATAAGCAGTTTTCTTTGCCCGTCCTCGTCTGAGAGTCAAGGATGTCGCACCCCAGGAGCTGGTGTCCCCTCTCCCTCCATGGGCGGTCGGGATGCTCATCGGGAAGATGAGGAAGGGGGGGCGACGAGAAGACCGCACCCTCACTTCCTGGGCAGGGAGGGAACACAGTGGAGGGGCATCCGCCTCCTCTTGAACGCGTCGAGGTCCTCTCGGGAAGCTCCGGCATCCTGCGTGTCTGCGCACGCGGCACCTGCCTCGGACGCGCCGGGGATGAGGGTCATCCCAGGAACAGGATGCAGCAAGATCGTTTTCATCCAAGGTAAATCCATATGGTCAGCGTTGATGGCGTCCAAGAGCTCCGCTTCCATCGATGCCTTAACCACGCACACACACACACACACCCGACGCGAAAGCTCCTGGCAGCTAGCCAGACATTGACGAACCTCGGCCTGAAACATGGAAGATTGGGCGGCCTCTCTGGCCAGTCTGTCAGGCCAGACATTGCCTCGACGCTGCTGGTCAGTGATTATACCGTCTAGCATCTTGGCCAACAGTCGTATGATCCTACCCTGATCCTACCGTGATCGTCCGTGATCTACCATCTGGTCAGTGACCTTGCCGTGAGTCGTGCAAGACTTAATTTTGACAGCAGTCAGGGACTCCAGGCGGTCTCCAACTTCGCTCCACCAGTGAGCTTTGGGGTTCTTGGGTCTATGGGCGCGGATATGGTCTTACAGGCATATTACCGTGCTTGCGCAGTCAAGAGGCAAGGACGAGGGATCATCAATCAAAGCATGCCGAGGCAACACGAGATCAGCTTAGTCTCTTCCGTCTCGGGCGATCTGATCTGGGGTTCATTCAACGGCATACTGCCTGTAATCGAAGAGGTCTTCTCTCCGTACATAGTTCCAGCTACTACAGACCAAAAGACAACGCTTGTTCAGTATGCCGTCCTTCAAAGCCTCCCCTAGCGGTCGGTGAACACGCACCGAGCAAATTTCTCACACGCCTCAACCTCAAGCGCTCCCATACTTTGCACCGCCCTCTTAAAGACAGGGTCGAGCATCACCCTGCTCCAGCATTGGTGTGCTGGACAGTCAAGCCCCCGACGAAACAGGGTGCCTTGCGCACTCTCGCAAGCTCGGCATTATAAAGGGAGATGAGGGCATCGACGGGCTATGCGAGCTTGCGACCAAAATGCATTCGCGACCACAGCTCCTAAACTGGCTTTGCGTCGTCGGGTCCACGTTCCCTGTTGTTTCCTGGCCGAAGCGCTGCGAACCACATTCCCAAACCAGGCCCTGACCAGCCGAGAGCCAATCCTGGAGTTCGTGCCCTCCCGTTTCGATAGCTCGCCGATCCATTGAGCTAACCCACCGTGCTAAGCTGTCGGGGGAAAATTGTCAAACCTGCAGCTGCGACGGAGGTCAATCAGTGCTGAATCCGCCGTCAACATCGAGAACCCAGCCTAGTCCCTAGTCTAATTGACATCAGAGCGAGGGCTGTCAGAGGTTGGCGCACCATTAAGTAACCAAGAACGGGGGTGGCCTTGTACCTTGGACCTCTCACCGAGGGCGCTCCACTACTCGCAAAGTGCATTTTCGCAAACGTCGGAACATATACACATGTCTACATCGATGTAATGTGTCTACAACGAGTGGTGGAACGCTCTTTTCTAACCTCTTTGATTTCCTGAATGCATGAGTAAAGGTCGGCTTCCGAGGCCGCGCGCGCCCGAGCAATGTCCACGCACACCTTAACCATTGCCGTGGTGGTGACAAGCAGAGGGCCGTGAAAGCACAGTCCGTCAAGGGCCACGCGGGAACCAGACACCCCAGAACAGCGTCCGCACAAAGTGCACCGCAATATTTGGCCACATCGGCGCGGATCTGGTGGCGCTGGTTCGGGGCCATGTCCATGATGCGAGAGCCCCGCGGTGCCTTGGCAAGCGGCCTAGCCCGAACGACTAGAGGAAACGCTAGCCCTCGGCCCATGTCAGCAGTCTTCGTACCGGCTTCAGGCCCAGCAGCACGTCTGGCTTGGTTGCCATCCCGCCTGTGGGACCCAGAATTGACATCCCCGCCTGAGACACGGCGTGACCGAACAAGTTTTTTCATTGCGGAGGTCCCAGCTAGGTTCCGCCTCGCAGGCGTCCAACAGACCTGGGTCTGAAAGCCAGAACAACGTCTTGGACAAATTGCAGGCAGTTGGCGAGCTCAGATGTGATGATGGAATGCGTTTTGGCAACGGCCCTTCACGTGGTCGCGGGGCCGCCCGCGACGTGGGCCGTGAAGTCGTCCACGACGTAAATGCACCTCGTCGGCGGCGTCTCGGCGGTGATCCTTTTCAGAAGTGACAAATGCTTGACCACTTCCGCCGCCGCCAAACATCAAGCCACCGCTGTGTCAGTCAGGACGATGTCCGAGCTTGTGCTGCCTGATCATCGGGCTCCCGTCTCAGCCCGATGCAAAAGACAAGGCGCACTTAGTTGCTTTCCATCGAAATACCACTGATCTGTAGCCATATTGCGGTCGGCTACGCGAAATGTTCTCGCACAACTCCGTGATGCCCTAGACCAGCGAGGGACACCATGCCACGTTGACGGGCACGCGTGCGTAACATATTGCGGGCGGGCGCCGCGTTGTCTGCGTTGGTGGAGGAGCTCGCACCCAGGAGAACCACTGAGCCCACGCACTTCCCCCAAGCTCTGGCACATCTCTGATGGATCCCCGATCGCGGCGAGCTCCAGATAGGCACCAAGTCTTCTCGGGCGGGCGCCGCCCTGGGGTTTGGGAAGGGATGCCGCCATGACCGGCCATGTCTCAGCGCGCTTAGGACTGCGTTCTCATGAACTCAACGCGGCCGCCACTCGCCCAAGATGCGGATCCGAAAAACGAGGGACGAGGAGGAGGAGGAGGAGGAGGAGGAGGAGGAGGAGGCGCAGGGCCGCGTGCATCCCCAGAGTTCAGCCCTTATCGTTTTCGGCGGCATCGTCATCTGGTCGGGGCGCGGTCTGTCCATCAGCGCGCAAGAGCTCCATGCATTGAGCGTGCTCCGCCGCCTACGGTTTCCCCTTTTCCCGTCCGCGCCTGTCTGTAGCCCTATGTGCCCAATTCGGCCCCGTAGTGACTTTCGGCTGCCTCCGACGGTGGCGTGGATCTGCGCCGCTGCGACCAAGAAAAATTGCCGGGCATGTGCGCGACGATGTGTTTGACCCCCGGCAGGGGATGGTGATGTGGTCGTGATGTTCTTGCACCTTTTTTCATGTTGCTGGCCGCGGCTGAGGGTGGCTCGGAAAACCGGGCAGTATGACCCCAACATGTCCTCGACGATCGGAGTGGTTTGGGGAGGAGGAGGATCGACCAGCAGGACGAGAATGGAAGCGGACGGGGTCTCCGTATGGGGGCGTATGGCATGTGAGGGCATGTGCGTTTGGGTCAAAAAAGTTCGATGGCGTAGGAGCCTTGGGCATGTCGCGATCTTGCGAGTCAAAGTCATGGCGGTGCGTGGCATGTGTGGGCATGTGCGCGCGTGTGCTAGGGGGGCGGTTGTCCCCGCGCTGCCCTACACAAAGGTGCACTGGTGGGTTTGTAGCGCTGTGTGAGCACGTGCGGGCATGCCCGGCACGAACAAGCACAACAGTCTGAACTCATGGCCAGCGAGGGCCCCATAACAGGAAGTCATTGCACGGTGTACGTGCAAGCTACGTGGTGCAAACGACGTGGCGCAGAAGGCGTGGTGCAAGCTTGAAGCGGCCACAGCAGGGCCTCGGGCACCCGCGGGGGGAAGCCTCGCCAGAGCCGCCCGGCGCGCGAGGCGACCACAGAGCGGCCTCGAGGCGGCCACGTTGCGAAGCTTCGGTGGAACCACCCAGCACACGTGCCGGCTTCGAGGCGGCAGCGTGGCGAATTTCCGCGGGAACCACCCGACGCACGATGCGGCCACGGAGCGGCCACGGGCGGCAACACGGAAAGGCGTCGCCGTAACCAGCCCATTTTATTGTCCAAAAGCAGTGGCGAGCCCCTCAGCGGCAACACTCGGTTCGTCCTCACATTCAGACGCCCTCGCATTTCTCTCTCTCTCTCTCTCTCTCTCTCTTCCCCGTCCTCACATTCACGTTTCCCTCTCGTTTCTCTCTCCCCGCGTTTCCTCACATTCAGACGCCCTCTCATTTCTCCCTCGCCCTCGTCCCCAAGATTGGGGCGCTCTCTCTCTTCAGACGCCCTCGCATTTCGGCGGCCCGCGGCTCTTCCGAAGCCGTTGTGGCTCAGGGGGGGCCTCCGTTCGCGCTGTCCGCCCCCAGCTTAGAAGTATCCCGCCCCCCTTCCCCCTCCTCCTTCTCCTCCTCCTTCTCCTCCTCCTCGTCCTCCTCCTGCTCCTCCTCCTGCTCCTCCTCCTCCTCCTCCTCCTCCTCCTCCTCCCCCTTCGCCTCCTCCTCCTCTTCCTCCTGCTACCCTTCCTCCTCCTCCTGCTACGTCAGTTCAACCACTGGAGGCGGTACCATGGCAGACCCACATTGGTTTGAAGGTGCAGTTTCGGCAGACGGGCGAGCAGCTACTAACACGAGTGTTATCCACAGCTGCCAAGTTGCCGCAGGTACCTCGACCAGGGCAGGAACCAGATCCGCACTCCAAGGCAAGCAGAGCTCGCCAGCAGCGTGCTCTCACCAGCCAGTCTTCAGCTCAGGCTAGAGACGAGCGGTACAGTGACATGTTCAGTGATGTTTTGGAGGCTCTTGACGAGAAAAATAAGGTTGGCAGAAAAAGTGAGCACCCCAGTGAGGCCCTTGGCCCTGAGGAGCCTCATGCTGTGCCTGCCCCGCCTACTTGTGATCTCGAAGTGGCCTCCTACTGCTCCGAAGAGGACCCTTGGGCTCACGAGTTAAATTTTGTTCTGATGCGGCACTCGGCGAACCTGGCAACAAACAGGTTGAGCAGAGTGCGATTTCGGTTTGTATAGACTCGGTGGCTAGCCCTCACCCCTCGGAGAAGGCTGGTGGAAGCGGGCGCTCCTCGGGGTCTCTGCGGAAGCCTAGCGGATCGGGGGGGGCGATTGGGAACCACGAGGATCCCGTCGTGCCCGAAGGTGGGCAAGCTAGCTCCGACAGTAATTCGAAGTCGACCCAACCCCCCGATGACAGTCACAAGGCTGAGCCCTCGTACAGCATACCCTTGGAGGCGTGGGAGGCCCAGAGTGCCTCTGTTGATGTTTGTTCTGCCTCTCCCTCTTCCCTCCCTCCGTACATCCTGTACTCCGCCGCGCTCCAGGAGAACCAGGCCAGCGTGATCACCGTCTCGGGGATGTACGCGTCTTGGGTCTCGGCGGTAGAGGGCACTATTTGTCAGCATCGTGGGCATCCGAGTCCCCGTAGGTCCCGCAGAGCCTCCACACCCGTCTTCCAGGTGCAGGAGGTCAGGATCTATGATAAAGCTCGGGTCACCCCCTTCGTGATGTGCTTGCGGGTTGGTGGACCCGTCTTCACACTGTCTTGAGTGCGCTTGCTCGTCACCGACTTCGTGACAATGGCAAGGATCAGCAGCGACGGTTAGAGCAAGCTTGTGCGCACCTAAATGAAGACCGACCTGAGTCAGTTCATACCGCTTTGCGCGAGGGCTTTGAACCACCGTGGTCTGAATGGGTCAGTGCACTTTCTGCTATTCAGCCTTGCTCCGTCCAGATGCTGCAGGATTTTGCCAAGTTTTCGGATAAGGTTATGAAGCGTGCCCAACGGCGAGCTGTGAGCGAATCCATTCGTGAGTTTCGTGATTGGGCGGTGTCTGAGGCTGGCCTGGGAGGCCTTCACAGGGCCATGCGTCAAGATCCTGTGCCAGCTTTGGAAATCTTCGACGGCGCTGATGTTGTCGTTCACCCGAAGGGCATTGTAGACTGCAAGGCTAGGCGGTGGCATCGTAAATGGGCTGCGCCTATCGCGGACCCCCCCCGAGGCTCTATGCAACGTTCTGGAGGTGGCCCGGGAGGCCGTCTTGAATACCGATCCTCTCCCCGCTCTTGAGGTCCTTGGTCTTCGGGAAGCTTTGAAAGCGATGAAATCTAGGGCTGGAATGGGCGTCGATCGTCTCACGCCTTGTGACATGGAGAGGCTACCTGACCAGGGCCTCGAGGAGATGGCGTCCCTGCTCAACTCGATTGAGCACCTCTTGGCGTGGCCAGCGCAGACCATGTTGGTCATAGGTCGGTTGCTTCCTAAGAAGGTGTCAGGGGACCGCGTCATCGGCCTCATTTCGATGTTGTCGCGGGTGTGGAGTATGAGTCGCGAGCCTGTGGTCCGTTCATGGTGGTCTCGGTCAGTGCCCCACTGGGACGCCGCAGTCAGGAACAACTCGTCGCTCGGCGAGGCGTTCAGGCGTGTCCTGGACGAAGAGACGGCGGGGGTCCTGGGCATTTCGTACAGACACTCGTTGGTCGATATCGACAGGTACTACGATAACATGTGTTGGCTCAAATTGGTTGTTGCTGCTATCCGTCTTGAGTTTCCGCCAGTGATCCTCTTCCTTGAGATATTGCAATGCGCACACCCTCGCACTTTGCATCAGATGGATTCATATTCGAAGGCCTCCGAACCGACCTGCAGTATCATTCAAGGCCGACGGTCGGGCACCAGATTTGCTCGCATTCTTACATACTATGTGATGGACAAAGTGTGCACAGCGCACGTTCGGTGCTCGCACCGAGTATGGATTGATGATATGTCGCAGTCCACCAAGGGCTCTCAGCAGCAGGTCAAGCAGGACTTAGTCAGCTGTGTGATTGACGCGGCTCGCGGTCTCCAGCAGCAGGGCCTGAGGTTGGCAGGTAAATCAGTTATTGTATGTTCAAAGTTCTCAGATGCTAAGGAGATTGCCCGAGCTCTCAGACTTCGGGGTGTGTTGGTCACAGCGGCTCGACACACATCGTATTTAGGCATCGACCTCGGAGGAGGACGACGCCATGCTAGAGATGAGACGCAAAAGGAAGTTGAAGCACCTTGTCAGGCACAAGAAAGTCGTCAAGATCGTGAGGACGCTGCGCAGGTCACAGCTCACGTCGCGACTGGAGAGACAAGGTGCGCAGGCAGCGGGAAGTTACGGGTTCCAAGCGTTCGGCGTCACGGGGCAGGAGCTTGTCAACTACAGGAGGCGCCTGGGAGCAGCATGCCATGCCAAGACCAAGGGCAGGTGTCTCACGACTCTGTTGGAGCTTGAGGCGCATGGCCAGGACCCCGCAGCGAGAGTCACGTACCTTACCTTCTACATGTGGCTGAAGAATTGGCACGCACATCCTGAGGTACGTTCCAGCATCCGACAGGCGTGGCCGAAATTGCGTAGCAAGCTCGAGCAGATGGCACCCGATCTCAGGTCACGGCATTTTCGTGGGCCCATGGGCGCCATCATCAACCATCTATTGGATTTTCAGTGGGTGCCGAGATCTCCCACAGCCTGGGACCCTCCAGGTGACACCAGTTGGGAGTTCCCCGGCAGCAACTTCACAGGAGTGGAGGCCATCGACATGGCGTCATTCAGCGACTTCCTAGGTGAGGTGAAGGATGCAGCGACGGCTCCGTTCTGGTTGTGTGCTGGGCAACATTTCGACGGAGAGGGTCTCAGGTGCGGCACCGATAGTTTCTCATATCGGCGACTGCTGGCACACCTCGCGCAGGTTCGACCAGCGGGCACGAGGTTGGCTGGCATCAGGTTATCGGTGGCGATTGGAGGATCGTGGACCAAGGCGCGCAAGGCTGACCAGTATATCAAGCCCATGGATCAGTGCGCGAGAGGCCAGGATATCTGCGATCGCTGTGGGGAGGAGCAGGAGACTTCTTTTCACAGAGCATGGCTGTGCACGTGCAACAGTGGATCTCCAGCTTATTCCCAGAGCGACTGCATAGTGCCCAAGGCTTGTGCACAGCACGAGCAGACGCTATGTTTCTGGCTGAGAGGCCTCGTACCCAAGGATTGGACCATCATGCCCAGCCCGCAGTTCAGCGACGACTGGGATTACGACGGCATCAACAGCTTCGGCCCGCAGTGCCCACCGTGTGGCACGGCCGAGGCGCCGACGCTGATCTTCGGAGATGCCAGCGGGGGTCCCGACACAGCGGACCCTAGGACACGACGAGTTGTTGTGGGCATTGTGGTGATTAAGGAGTTTCAGCCGCTTGTCATAGATGCCTTCGTTGTCGGAGGCCTTGCTGGCACGCGTCAGACTGTGGCTCGTGGCGAACTCAAGGCACTGTGGCTCACGGTGTTTGCGTCTCAAGGTCATGTTCGGTTCGCGACGGACTGTAAGTCTGTGTATGAGGGGTGGCACAAGGCCAAGTACCTCCACCCCAGTGGACCCGACGGTGACTTGTGGGCTCAGATCAGAGTACTTCTCCAACATCGCAGCAGTGCAGATTTCAATGTCGATTTCATTCATTCGCATCAGACGGGTGAACACATCGTGGATAAGAAGGCCGAATCGTGGCAGGTGTTAGGCAATACTGCAGTTGATGCATTTGTGGGCGAGGCAGCCTTGGGTGTACGTGTTCCTGCAGGCGACAGGCAGCGACTGCATGAAGTTGAGCGGCAGGCATACCTTGTACGTCATAGGCTGCTCCGTTCGACTCTCGACAGCTTCGAGGCGGGAGACGAGATGAGGACGAAGGAGGCACCGTCCCCCCCTCCCCCTCCGTCTCAACCTCCGTCGGTGAGAGCTGTAGCTAATTCTGTCACCAACCATTATTTAGACGAAGGGGCCCTGAGGTGCCTCAGGTGTTTCGGTTTTGCCACGCAGGCCACAGCCCTGCAATGGAAAGCGAGCCCGTGTTTCAGTCCCCTGGTTTTGAACGAGCGTTATAACACTAAGCTTGTAGGTGTTAAACTTCATTTAGCGGAGGGCTGGGTCCACTACACTCACATTATGAATTTGTCAGTCAAGCTGAATCTGTGGTTTTGTAAGGTCTGTGGCTCCTTCTCCAGCAAGCGAGCGAACGAGCTTCACAAGCCGTGTCGACGTCAGGCCACAGGCACTGGGGAGGAGCATTTGAACCGAATTGACCGAGATTTGTGGCCGAGGGTCCTCAGCAGAGCTGAGAAGGCCGTTCGACAAGGGTCAGCACGGTCGTCCCCCCAGGTGTAAGGCCGTTTTCCTATCACTTCGTGATCTGACATTCCCATTCCCATTCTCCTCCTCCTCCTCTGCCGCCAGTGCGGCATGGCCCAGGCCCCCCGGCCGAGCCGCCCGCCGCGGGGGGCCCTGGCCCGCGGGGCGACGCCCCGGTGAGCCTCACGCTGCAGAACATCCCCAGGCCAGCCACAACTGGGGGAGCTGTGGCCCTTACCCCCCTGGGGGGCCCATCGATTTCGACACCCCTCTCGAGGGATCGTCGATGCGATGCGTTCCCCCAGGAGGGTAAGGACCACAGCTCCCCCAGTTATGGCTGGTCGGATCCCGTGCCGCTGCACCATCGGGGAGGTCCTCGAGCTCATCCAGAAGGAGACGCAGCCACGTGAGCAGAAACTTTGGCGCTCCGCGCGGGTTTCTTGGATCCGCGCCTGGGCCCCGTCCCTGGCGCGCGGAGCGCGCCAGGGGCGCCGCCGGAGCGGGCCCAGGCCCAGATCCAAGAAATCCGCGCGGAGCGCCACAAGTTTACGTTCATGTGGCTTTCTCTCCTTCTATCCTCCACGAGTCGGGGTTCCAGGGGTGCTTCGACAGCCTCTTCATGCCGATGAAGGCGACCGACCGTCGGAACAAGGGCATCGTTTTCGTGCGGTTCGCGGACGCTCGGCAGGCCTTGCTGTTCCAGTGCGCGATGGACGGCATGCGGTTCGGTTCCCGCACCAGTTGCAAGGAGGTCGTGGTGGCTTCGACAAGTGACAGCCTCGTTGCGCAGCAGGCGAACATTCCAGCTGATACCAAGGTCTTCATGAGCAGGTGGGGCCCGGTGCTGGTCCCTCCTTCGTCCGCGTTGAGCTTGTGAGTCAAGACTCTTGGCTAGCCAGCTAGCAAGAGCTCTCCATGTTGTCCCGCCCTTTATCTCCTGACCCCCTGCCACCTGCAACGGGATATTTCACTGGCGGTCGCGAGGTGTAGACGGATGGTATTGGGTTTGGGCTTCAGTTCTCAAACCGGATGAGACTGATCTTTGCCTTCGATTTGGCGTCCTGTATTATTTAAGTCTTCTGTCCTAGACCTTCGTTGGGGTGCCGAGGAGTCAGGGAGGGTGCCTTCACACGACTCGACAGTCACGCGACTCTCAACGGGCCATAACGTGTCGGCACTTGGTGCATCTCCCGGCGGGGCCCTCGTGTAGTCGCGTCGAGGAGTGATGAGGAGTTGGAAAACGAGATGAGGAACAGGCGGAGGACGGGGCCGCAGGAATGGTGCCTTCCCCTGAGTGCGCCACTGTTTTTCTCTTTCTTTAGCCAGTTCGCGACGCAGCATCCAGTCGTCGAGGATCGCCGTCTCGACATCGTCGATCCCCTGCGGCTGCGGAAAGGCAGTCCTTCGTGCTCCCTAGAGGCGGGGTTGTCACGCTGCATACTATGTGCCAAGCATTGCCTCGATTCTCAACTCGGGACAATGATAATTAAGGTGTGTCCCCCTTCTTTTGGCAGCTCCTGCCACTATGCAAGCACGCCCATTGTGTCGGCGGGCGACTCTTTCGCAGGTGTTGCACCAGTGTTGTTGATGATGACGACGACGACGTCGATGATGGTCGTGATGACGATGATGTTGATGATGATGCTGCTGCTGCTGATGCTGATGATGCTGCTGCTGCTGATGATGATGATGATGATGATGATGTGTTGTTGATGATGGTGATGGCGATGATGATGCTGATGATGATGCTGCTGATGATGATGGTGATGGCGATGATGATGATGATGATGATGATGATGATGATGATGGTGATGGAGATGATGATGATGATGATGATGATGATGATGCTGCTGATGCTGATGGCGATGATGATGGTGATGATGATGGTGGTGGATGTGGCGATGCTGATGATGATAATGACGATGATGATGTTGACGATGATGAGGATGATGATGATGAGGATGATGATGATAACGGTGATGATGGTGAGGGTAGCGTTGGAGATGAGGTTTTCAAGTTGTATGAGTCACGCGGTTCTTTCGCAGAGCCGCCTCTGACGACCTCACGTTGCCCACTGTGCACATGCACGGTGCGGGCCCTTCCTGCGGATAGATCGTATCCACTCGGCACAGTTGCCTCGGGGCGCTGTGTCGATCTTCGCCCAGTGCGTCGGAGGAGGGAAAGCTGTTGATACCGCTACCCTTGTCTTGTTTTCCCCTTTCAGGGCGTCTCGGGAGGCCCGGGAGGCCCTTGTCGCTACGGCTGGATTCGCCTCGAAATCTTGACCAGAATGCACCCCGCGAAAGGTCCTGGGAGTAGCGGTATCGGTATCTTTTGGTTTCCCCAGTGTCAAGATCCCAGCAGTGAGTGCTCTTACGACATCAGAAGCGTCCAAGTTTGCCATTCATTATCTTCCCTGTCTCCATCCTCCCTCCTACCTCCTTCTTTTTGACGGAGATCTGCGCTCCTCGGCATGTCTTCTAGCCCTGCGGTCGATCCACCCGCAGTCGTGGAGCGATGCGGAATGGTGAACGGGATGGCTCGCGGGCGATTTTGGTTTCGGATTGCACTTGAAGCACTGCAGCAGGCAGACTATTGTGCATGGGGAGGTGGAGAGTCTGCACGGGTACCAGGGGGAGGATGGCCCTCGCGGGTGCGGGGAGGGAGCGGGTGGGGAGGGAGGGAGGTTACCAGCCTGGAACATATCCCCATCCCTATGCTGGGCATCTCCTCATCACGATGCCGATCTTAGGGATTCCCTTATTTTTGAGGGCGCATCCCTAAGACTGTCATCGCCTTTGGGCGTGTCGATCTTAGGGATAGGGATACGTACGAGGCTGGTAAGGAGGGCCACGCTCGGCTCTCCCCGTCTCGAGCACCGAGCCGCTGCAGGCGGGTGGCCGCGAGCGCCTCCTGCAAGCTCCCAGGCAGCAGCTGACCGGGCGACGTCTGCAGCTCGGATGCCTCCACCGTCCCCTCCTCCCGCCCCCCAGTCGTGTCCTCCTTTACCAGCCTGGAGCATATCCCTATCCCTATGCTGGGCACCTCCTCATCACGATTCCGATCTTAAGAATTCCTTTTTTTTTTGAGGGCGCATCCCTAAGACTATCTTCGCCTTTTGGCGTGTCAATCTTAGGGATAGGGATACGTACGAGGCTGGTAACTCCTGCCCACTCGCCCTCTGCTTGATGTGGCCCTTCGGCGCAACTGCCGGCGCACAGTCGGGGTGGGTGGGAGAGGCTGGTGCGGGGAGGGGGCATGGACGACCAGCACTTCGCTGCTTGACGTGCGGGGTCTTGTTGTAGGAGGACGTCGTTTCCCTTTCCTTCGACATATGCGGCCCTCATTTCGGGGCCGCTCCACTGCGAGTGGCACAGGCGCGGTGCCTGTGGGCAAACACATCCTTCTTCTGCGCACTCCTCCCTCGGATGGTTCGCGCCGACTTTTTGCCAGGTGTGAGTATCCAATCGCTCAGACCACCGCAAGGCACCCAGCTGGCCGTGGGGGCCAGTGCAAACAGAAAAGTGGGGAAGGGTAGAGATGGACGAGGAGTTGAGGAGGGAGAAGGAAGGGGGAGGAGAGGGAGGAGGGGAGCTTTATACTGTTTTCGTTGATTCCGGTTGCTTTCGCAGTTTTTTGCGCGGTTCTGGTGTGGAGAGTTTTCCTGAGTCGTCCGGGGGGGGGGCACGGAGGAGGAGGAGGAGGGAAAGGAGGAGGAGGGGGAGGCTAAGAATGAGGAGAGGGAATAGAAGGGTTGAGGTGAGGGTGGGGCGGATGGGCCGGAAGAGGAGGGCCGGGATGACGAGAAGGACCCGGATCTCGAGCTGCCCGCAAGGGAGTCCGAGAGCCCTGCGTCAACCGAAACCTCGAACTGAGCGGCCTTCCCCACGCAAAAAGCCCCACCCAGGCAGGGTGGCCAGCCCCCGCCCGTGAAAAGCACTCCGTCGGCTTATCAGGAGGAGGTGGTAAGTATCGAAGACGCCTACGGCGAATCACCGCCGCCCCCCTGCCTTGTTGGAAGCGCCTGCGTGGCCGAAGGTCGGGTTTGAGCTTGGCCAAGCCATCGGGCCACGCGTTCCCCGAGTGGGTTTCGAAAGCCGTCGGGGAACACGGAATCGGGCGAGCTATCGGACCAGGTGGAGTCCGAGCTTTCAGGCCTCCTGGGGGACGTCTTGGAGGGGTCTTGGGCCGTCTTGGAGGCCTCTGGCGGGCCTTTTGGGCAGTCTAAGGCCATCTTGAGGCCATGGATGCATCTTGGGGCCATCTTCGCTGTCTTGGAGGCCTCCTTGGTCGTCTCGGAGGCATCTTGGAGGCCATCTGGCCGTCTTGGAGGCCATCTTCGGCGTTTTCGGGGCCATCTTGGGCCGTCTTGGGGCCTTCTTGGGGGCCTCTTGGGGGCCTCTTGGGGGCCTCTTGGGGGCCTCTTGAGCTGTCATGGGGCCATCTTGGAGGCCTGTTGGGCGCTCTTGGGGCGATTGGGGGTCTCTTTGGCCGTCTTGGGCCGTCGGAGAGCTGATAAGAAGACAATGCCCAAATCCTTCAAACACCTAAGGAAAAATCAGTGGTGTTTGCCCTTTCGGGCCTTCCTGGAGGACGTCTTGGAGGCCTCTTGGGGGCCTCCTGGCCAGTCTTAGGCCATCTTGGAGTCATCTTGGGCCGTCTTGGAGGCTTCTTGGACGAGCTTGAAGGCATCATAGACTCTCTTGTCTTGGAGGCCATCTTGGACCATCTTTGGCGACTTGGAGGCCATCTCGGGCCATCTTGGAGGCCATCTTGGGCCAGCGTGACCATCTTAGAGGCCATCTGGAGCCGTCTTGGAGGATTGGTTTGGGTCTTTGAGGTAGTTTCGGGGTCAGGAGGAGGTGGTAAGTATCGAAGACGTCTACGGCGAATCACCGCCGCCCCCTGCCTTCTAGAATCGCCCGTGTGGCCGAGCGTTGTGGCAAGAGCTCTTCCACGCTATCGGACCATGTGTTCGCCCAGCCGTTGTGGAACACCTTCGGGGAACACGTGGGGGAGGATGGCGGGGAAGATAGGAGGCGGAGGAGGAGGTGGGGGAGGAGGAGGAGGAGGAGAAGGAGGAGGTGGAGGAGAAGGAGGAAGAGGAGGAGGAGGAGGCAAAGGAGCAGGAGGAGGAGGAGGAGGAGGAGGAGGAGGAAAAGGAGCAGGAGAGGGGGCATCTTGGCTTGGAGCCTCCTGGGAACTCCCTGGGAGCCTCTTGGAGGCATCTTGGGGGCCCTCTTGGAGGCCTCTTGGGGGCCTTCGGCGGGGTGGCTTCTCGGGGGCCTCTTTGGCCATCTTGTTGGGTTCCTAGCCCGTCTGACGCCGTCGGAAACCGTCTTGGGGGACACTCTGGGCAGACTTGGGGCACTCTTGGGGTGCTCCAGGGCCGTCTTGGAGGCCATCTTGGGCGTCTTGGAGGCCTCTTGGGCTGCTCTGGGGCCATCCTGGAGGCCTCGTTAGCGATCTTGGGGCGATCTGTGGGGGCTCTTGGGCCGTCTCGGGCCGTCGGAAGGCCGAAAAGAAGCAAATGCCACAATCCTTCAAACACCAGACGACAATCAAGGATTTTGGCCTCTTCGGGCCCTCCTGGAGGACCTCTTGGAGGCCTCTTGGCCGTCTTGGGCCGTCTTAGGGCCATCTTAGGCCATCTTGGTGGGTTCCTGGCCCGTCTGACGCTGTCGGAAGCCGTCTTGGGGGCCTCTTTGGGCCGCCTGGGGCCGTCTTGGAGGCCATCGTGGGCGTCTTAGAGTCGTCTTGGGCCGTCTCTGGGCCCTCTTGGGGCCGTCTTGGGGGCCTCTTGGGCAGTCCTGAGGCCATCTTGGAGGCCTCTTGGGCGCTCTGGGGGCAATCTTGGGGTCCTCTTGGGCCGTCTTGGGTCGTCGGAAGGCCGACAAAGAGCAAATACGAGGTCGCTCAATAACCTAACGAAAATCAATGATTTCAGCATCTTCGGGCCCTCCTGGAGGACCTCTTGGAGGCCTTTTGGGCAGTCTTGGAGGCCTCTTGGGGGGCCTATGGGGCCGTCTTGGGCCATCTTGAAGCCATCTTAGGCTGTCTTGAGTGTATCTTCGCTCGTCTTGGAGGCATCTTGTAGCCATCTGAGCCGTCTTGGAGGCCGTCTTGGAGCCGTCTGGAGCAGGAAAAACCCTTTGCAATTGGATCTGGAAGAGTTTTCCGGTGGCCAGCGGGACGGGCCGAAGCCCCAGGGGGAGTTCTTTTTTGGAAAAAGAGCCAAAACCAAAACCGCAAGGGTTCAGCACGCCAGGCACCCCTGTGATGAATCAACAGGGGGCGGCGGATCGAAGACGCCTACGGCGAATCACCGCCGCCCCCTGCTTTTTTGGAAGCGCCTAAATGGCCGAACGTTGAGGCCAGACCTGCCAAGCTATCGGACTATTGGCCTCTTCGGGCCCTCCTGGAGGACCTCTTGGAGGCCTCTTGGGCTGTCTTGGAGGCCTCTGGGGGGCCCTCTTTGGCCGTCTTGGACTCTCTTGGGCCATCTTGGGGGCCGTCTTGGACCATCTTGGGCGGACATGGAGGCCATCTTGGACCATCTTGGAGGCCATCTTGGGCCAACGTGGCCATCTTGGAGGCTATCTTGGGCCATCTTGGAGGATTTTTTTCCGGATTGAGGTCCTTGGCAATCTTTCCGGGTGGCCGGCGGGACGGGCCGAAGCCCCAGGGGGAGTTCCTTTGGAAAAAGAGCCAAAACCAGAACCGAGAGGGTTCAGCACGCCAGGCACCCCTGTGATGAATCCACAAGGGGCGGCGGGTGACGGAACGCGCGCGTAGCGTGCGATCCGTTCGTCGGAAGAAATGAAATTCTGGGAGAGTGTGAGAGGGGTGGCATCTTCATTGCAGGGTCTACTGGCCCGCCATTTTCCCTGTTAACGGAGCCCTTCACAGGGAACATCGGGTGCTTTACTGGCCCGCCCGTTTCCCTGTTAACGGACCGTCAAAAGGGAAATTGTACGCTCGGGCACCCCTTTTCCTTGTTCACGGAGCCCTTAACAGGGATAATCGGTTCTTAACAAGGAAAATCGGGTGACGGAGTCGTTTTTCCTTGTTAAAGGACGTTATCAGGGAAATTGCACGCTCAGGCCCACTGGCGGCAACGCAAACATCTTTGAACACCGCGGCTCCCAAGAGTGAGCAGTGACGTAAACAAGTTGATAAGACCGAGGCTCCCAACAGAGAGCGGTGACGTAACAAGTTCTTGACACCAGGGCCCGAAACGGGCGGCAACGTAAGCTCCGCGTGAGCTCCGCGTAGGCTTCGCGTAAGCGCGTACAGTCCTCGTCAATTTGAGGTACCTTCAAGACAGCCCATGAGAGGCCAAGCTTCCTCCAAGACGGCCAAGATGCCTCCAAGACGACCCACGAGGCCAGAGGCCCGCAAGATCGCCCCAAGATGGCCCAAGATACCCCCAATACGGCCCCAAGACGTGCTCGAACACCTGCACGTATGCAGACGCTTTCAGCGGCCTCCAAGACGGCGTAGAGAGGCCCAGACGGGCCCGAGGACGGCCCAAGAGCGATGCAGATAGCCCACGACGGCCTCAATACGGCGCAAGAGGTCCCCAAGACCCCCACCCCCGAGCACCGAGGGGCGGTCTAGGCGGGAAACAAAAACGAACGTAGGGCTTGGCCGCCCAGGGGGGCGCCCTTGGCCCCGCCCTGCCTGCATACGCTCCTCGCCAGCTGAAGGCACCTCCGAGACGGCGTGGGAGAGGCCCCGACGTGACCGAAGACGGCCCAAGAGCGATCCAAGAGAGCCCAAGATGGCCTCAGCACGGCCCAAGAGGCCTCCAAGACACCCCCAAGCGGCACTCGAGAGGACCCCCCAGAGTGCTGAAGGACGAATAAGCCATTGATGCCTTTAGGTTTATGAAGGTGTTCCAGCTCCTCGCTTTTTCGGGCCCGATACAGCTCCAGGGCCCCCTGAGGACGGCCCAGAAAAGGGCCCCAACAAGGGCCTACTACGAGAGCCACAAGACGGCCCAAGGAGGGCCTGGGAGACGCCCCAGATGCTCCCAATGATCCCAATCCAGTCGTGTTGTATCGCGCTCCGGTGCCTTCCCAAGATGCCAGCACGCCCTGGTTCGCCCTCAAGAGGCCTCCTGCAGCTTCGAGATAGCCCTACTGGTTGAGTCTTGGCGATCAGCAGGTTATAATTCTTTGCAATAGAATTATTCCATGACTAGCGACTAATTTAACTTAGCCAGTAAGGTGTTCGGACCGAGTCTTTTGTTAATTGCAACATATTTAAGCGAATCAGTTGTTAATCATTTATTAATCAGGAGGAGGAGGAGGAGGGAGGAGGAGGCGGAGGAGGAGGAGAAGGAGGAGGAGGAGGCCACCCCTACTTTCTCCCCCGTTCCCCCTCTCATTGCGGACGGCTCTGCCGCCGACGTGGCGGGGGGAAGGAACCCAAGGTCGTCGCCGCGAGTGGGCAGAGTCCTCTCTCGAGACGCGGGCTTCGGAACTGCCTAGGGGTGCCCCAAACAACGGAGTTGTCAACAC